GCTTTGAAAACAGCAGTCAAATCATCCTGGTAAGTTAGAGAAGTGAAAGCAGTGGGAGTGTTCCAGAGCCCTGGTGTATTCATAAACAAGGTTCATACTAGAAGCAAGTAGCACTAATCAGCTTTTCCAAAGGAAATGCCTAGAAAGCTTTTATGTAGATCATCATTTGTTAATTTTCTTACTTATTTGCTTACTTATAGCCACACTCAAATGCTTCAGGGCTAGTCTTGTTCCAGGAATGAAACCTGTGTCTGGTACCATGGCTAGGAGTGCCTTGGGAGTGGTGTCCTGGACTGTCACCAAAATAATGTGCAAGTTTGGACCCATTGTCAAAAAAACTACAAGAGATCAATCAACTTTGGGACATGAGCATGAACAGGGATAGCTTAGGGTGTGCCTCAGTTGCATGTCTAATGAAAAACATGTTCTAATTAATGTGGGGAAAAGCAAGCAGGAGGTGACTCCCGAAGCCTGTGAAAGATCTGTCCATGTGAAAGCTTGATAGCATTTGGTAACCCATCACCACAGTTGCTTGCCCTTCAAGAAGGGAATCCCCTCTTTTCTGTAGCCTTTATGTCTCTCCCCGCACTTTGACGTGTCTGTAGTCAATGGAAGTCAGTCTCTGATGGAATCAAAATTGCATCTAAATAATAGTGTAAAGCAGGGACAATAGGCAGCAGAAGCTGAAGGTGAAAGAGCTGATGGTGTTGCATTTCTGGTTCTCTGGCTAAGGCAGTGTTATGGTGTGTGGTAGAAGGGGATGTTTGCAGCTGGTGCTGTGATGCTCGGTGTGGTGCTACCCTGTGGTGCTTCCCAAGGTGTCTTGAGAGGTTTGGCTATGTAGAAGATGAGTCACTTCTCCTGAAAGGAGCATTTTTTCATAAGGCAATGGGGATGGTTCTGTGAAATGATGCTTCCAGCACAGTGGAGTCTTCATCTTGTGCGGTCCCAAGAAGGATTTCTGCATTGCTAGCACAGACGTCTGCTGCACGCAGGGCAGGCATCACTAGCTGACATAATTCCCACCCTGTCCCCTCTGTACTCTACCCGTTTCTCACAATTTTTTTTACATAATAAATCTCTGCTTTTGTTTGCTCTCTGTAGCAGTGTAACTTCTGAACCATTACAGGCCCTTTGTTACCATCTGTGCTAGCAAGACTGTAGAATGTGCTAGACTAGGGGGGAATGTTTGACAAATAAAAACCTGTAATCCTCTGCTCTGTGTCTCATGCAGTTTGTTCTGTTCCCCTGGTGAGGTCCAGCTACTTTTTCCTTGCCCTTGGCTTCGTCCCTCTGCCGTTCTCACCTGTTAGGGCATCCCCTTGGTGAAATGCACCTTAGCTGGCCAGAGGTGTGTGACAGCCCACAAAGGCTCCAGTGTGCTCTGCAGTGCATAGAGTCCCTTCTTACAACTTGCTGGCAGTGCATGGGGACCTGTGTGGCTGCCAAGCCCTAAAACTGACCCTGAGGAGTTTTAACTTCTGCAGGACTAGTCTAGAGTCATCCTAGCCCCTTCATTCCTTGCCCTTCTAGACCTGAGTGCGTAAGAGTACTCTGTTCATTTTATATAGCTGCATTCAAACATCTTTGAGTGTCAGCAACTCCACCAGTTATCTCTAGGAATAAAGAGATGGATTTGCTGCTACTTTGTTCTTTCAGCCACCCCACCCACAGGCAGATGCTAGCAATTAGGACAGATGAGCATGTGCATGAGCTTTTATCTTTGCTTGCATACTCCAAATGCTCCATCAGAAAAAGGAAGGGTATTACAACTGGGGAGCAGTTTTGATATTAGAAGTTAATGGCTTGGGGTTGCCGATCAAAGGGGATGTGAATGGCAGAGCAGAAGCCAGGAGCTGGTCATTCTTCGGGACTGCTCAGGGTGCAGTTAGGTGAGAGGTCTCTGGACTGGAGCAGGCTTTCGGCTCAGTACCTTCAGGGGTCTTTCCTTGACATAAGGCAGGTAGGGATGCAGATATGATCTGAGCCAGTGAAGCAGCTTGCAAGGAACGTGCTTGGAGCCCTTGAGTCAAAACAGCATGTCCTTCCAGCAGGTATGCCTTTGTGCAGCTGGGATGAGGCTGGAGAACATGCTGTCCCCCTCTGCCCCAGGGGTGCTCCACGCACCAATAGCTCACAAGAGGTCTCACAGAAGATCAGTTCAGAGCCTCAGTCATGTTGCTTTGGAGTGGAGGCAGGCAAGGAGATCAGAGGGAAACAGGGGCAGGAGTGAAGAGCCTGGTTAGATACATGATGAGCAAGCCGGGTTCTTTTAAAGCTACTAAGGAGAAGGCCTCATTCATTAAATTGCACAGTATGTGTATGGTCAGAAAACTTGCATTCAAAGCCTTGGATGCTCAATATCCAATCATATCTGGTAAAGAATACCATTGAAAAGTAATAATGTTAAAACAGTTAATGCAGGTAACTCTGGAATGGATCTAAAGGCTCTTGCTTCGAGATTTAAGCCAATCTCCAAACATGGGGGATTAGGAAGAGATCCTTAGGGGAACTGTCTGTCCCTCATCTGTTCCTTGGGCACTTCTCAGAGCTTCCTGCAAGCACGTAACAGTAGGTGCTGCTGGAGGAACAAAATACCAAGGATGGATTTTGCAGATCTTGATCCGATCAGAGTGAATGTGTTCAAAACTTGACATAGAACAGGGGTCTGGGCATTCCCCCCAGTAGCTGTTAACACTCTTTATGCCAGTTCGAGCATTGGCCTGTGACACTTGAGCATTGCCAAGGAGAGCAAAGTGCAGGATAGGTGCCAGGCTGGGACCTGGATGCCTTGGCTCAGGGTTGCTTTCAATGTGTGTGACACCATCTGCAGTAGTCACCAGGAGTCCTGCTGTGTTCTGTCCTAACTGCTACACAGGTTCAGTGCACCCTTTTTGCAGTAGGCCAGCCTTTCCTGCAGTCTTGGAGACCTCACAGCTCTCCGAAGTTGTCACCATAAGCATTTTGGCAGGTGGAATAGTTGCCTGCAGAGCAGCAGTACCTAAAGCCAGTGCAAAACCTTCACCAGCCTTCTGCTCAGCGTAGTTTCTGGCCAGAGACCTGCTTTGCCCTGGATGCTTGCTGCTTGGTGAACACTTCTGTGCCACCAGTTATGGGACTACACGTGAAAGCACAGAAAGAAAGGTAAGGTCAGGGTGGCCTGCCTCCCATGTGTGTGTGCTGGGCATCCTGGAGGGCTCCTACAGAGGAGAGGTACCCCAGGCTCTGGCAGCTCTCCTCCCATCCATAGAGCAATCGAGAGGAATATCCTAGTCTGAGCATATGAAAGATGTAGGGGGCACCAGGGCAGGGTCCCAAGCATTGCAGTTGCTGAACTCGCAGTGTGCCATATGGCTTAGAGTCATCTGCTAACCTTGAGCAGTGCAACGCCTGCACTGCCCTCCCCAGAAAGCCCCAAAGCCTGGGCCTCGGGGGGGGCAACAGCTTCACAGCCTGGCTGGGCACGGGACGGGGGGGAGGTGTGATAAGGTAAAGGGACCAGCTCATGGGTTTCAAAAGCTGAGCTGTAGTTACTGGTGTGGGTGTAGAACTGCCCTGAAGAGTCTGGTCAAGACCCGTACAGGCTTCTCCAGTGACACCATCCCCCATGCTTGAGTTATCTGCTGCAAGACCAACCTGGGACGCAGTAACTTTGCTGGCTCGGCAGGGATGGGAGTAGATGGTTGCTTCAGCTCTTGCTTTTTAGCTGGAAGATCATGTGTGGATGTTTTCTTCTTGTCGGGAAGCTGAGGCTGGCACTCTCCCCTGCCCTTGCCAGCAGCCGTGCTTGTTTCTGGACGGGGTTGACAGCCCGTGGAGCTCTTTGTCTTGCTGCTGTGACTGGTGCTTGTTCTGCAAGCCAGAGCAAGCAGCAGCTGTCCCAGCTCCTGCAAGGCCAACTCGTGCACGAGTGGAGAAAGATTGGGGGGGGGGGGAGGCAAAAGGGAACCTGCTTCACGCCTCCTGGGGACAGGGAGCCCTTCACCCCGGGACAGCACCGTGCTGTTCTTGCCTTCTCCCGTCTCTCTCCCCGGTGGCATGGGGCAGGGGCGTGTGGCCAGGAGGCCGGTGCTGCCAGCGTGCCGGGAGCCAGCCGCGGGCTGTGCGGAGCTGCGGCTGCGCTGCTGGCTTTGGGAGCGGCGATCCCTGCCGAGAACTGGCTGCGGCGGCTCGTCCCAGCCCTGCAGGGAGCAGAGCTGCTTGGGCAGGGACAGGGGAAAGGCTGGCAAAACAGCTGGCAGGGCAGCCAGGCTGCTGTGGTTAAACAGCACGATGCCTGACAGTGAGCAGGACCCCCCCGCTGCCCCCAGCCCTTGCTGGGGCTAAACAGTGGTGCAGCCGTGCCGGTCCCAGTACTGTCAAGACAAGCCTGGTGACAGGTGTCCTAGCACCAATCCTGGCACCAGGACTGACTCAGCCAGTACTACCCAGAACCAGTTGTCCTGGCGTTTTAACAGCAGGCCACCAGCTTGGCCCAGTACAGGTTCCTGTAGCCTGTGCTGCAGGGAGGGCACTTGCAGCACAGCTGGGGAAAGAGCTGGTCCTGGTTTCTGTCCTTTCTCACTTGAGCACCTGCTTGTGAGCTTCTTCCTCAGCTGCAGAAGCAGCACCTGCACCTCTCCCAGCTACGGCCAGGTACCTGGCAGGGGAGAAGCCAACTCCTTCCTCCAGCATCCTCCTCCTCGGTGCAGCACCACAGCCCCTTGAAAACCTTCCCTCTTTTCCTGTTGAACATGCAACACCGTGGGAGTTGCCCATCTGAGCATGGGAAGAGGACATAGCTGAGCTGAACAGGATGGGTCCAGCCTCAGTGACCAGCTGCCAGCCCTAGACCAGAGCTGTCAGTGCTGGGCCCCACGGCAGCTGGGAACTTTGGGTTTCCTGGAGCTGGAACCATCCAGGGCTGTGGTCAGCCAGGCACTGCTGTCTTACCTTCAGAGCAGCCATCTAAGTTTCAATCTCCTTCCAAGCATCTGGCAGAAATAAAGCACACATCCATGTCAAACATAATATATTTATAGCAAAAATAGGCTTTCTCTGTAGCTTCCATACACAAGGTTTTCTTCCTGTACATTTACGCAGTAAACAGGTCGACTGAAGCAGCGTGTGCTGGGCGGACTCGACAGCTGCCCTTGCTTCAGGCTCCCACTTCCCACAGGTGGACTCATTCCCCTTTCGTGGCTGCTTTCCCGCGGCTGTGCCAGATCCCTCGTACCTCCCCAGCCAGGGGCTGCGGCACAGGCAGGGAGCAGCCCTGGCACAGGGAAGGGAATGGCTGTACGTGCTCCAGCCTGCCGGGCAGAGGGTAAGGCGAGTGCCCAGGGAGTGCCCCCAGCCCAGGTTTGAGAAGCTTCCTGTAGCTCACCTGTGCCGACTGCGGGTTACTCCACCACGTTGTTAAGCAGCAAGTGCCCGGGCACAGGACCTCAGCTCTTTCACGGCGGTAAGAATACACAAGCCATGTTAACTCAGGAAGCCTCCCTTGTTCCCCTTGCCTCTCTGCTGTTGGGAGGCAGAGGAGGGGCTTTGGGGCAAGCTCCCTGCGGACTGCCCAAAGTCCCCTGCAGAAATCTCAACGCTGCCAGAGACCTTCCCACCCAGCTGTCAGAGAAGGCAGAGCACCAGGACATCCTGCCAGCAAGAGCTTCACAGTTTGGAGTTCACCTGGGTCACCACTTGTCCATCCCAGAGGGGTTTGGCACATAGACCTAAAGGGCAGGACACGTAGGCAGCCAAGTACATCCTTCCTGTCCTGGGCTGGGAAAAGGTCCTCGCTCAGAGCCAGCACTCCTCCCTGCCTGGCCACACAACTCAGGACATTGCGATGCACCCACAAGCTGGCCACGCTGTTCCCAAGTGAGATGCATCACCCCAACAAGGCCAGGTGCCAAAGGGTGGCTTGCAAGCAGGGCAGCTACTGCAGCGCAGGGAAGGAAGCCAGCTTTCCCTCCAGCCCTCCCTGCGGGGGCTCCTGCAGCACCTGGGTGAGGAGCTTCTGCTCACGGGGGAGCATCCCTCTACGCCAGCCCCAGTCCCCTCCAGCCTCCCTCTCCCCCTGCATCTTTGGCAGTCCTCGAACGTGTTCAAGTCTCCAGCATCACACCGACATCTCAGCAGCATGGACTTGCCTCACAGTTTGGTAATTGCACGTAATGGGGCCACTCAGTGAGCCCCATAAGGGGAAAAAAAAAAAAAAAAAAAGGAACAAGGCAATCAAGTAAACTAAATTGAGCAATCCCTCGCCATCCGTTCCAGCATGACGGGTCACACGACGTGAGTCCAGGGAGAGAGGATGCTGCCCGGCCCTGCCGCAGTGCAGCTCCCCACCGTCTAGGAGATCATGTACTGGGTGATGGCCTGCAACGCGTACAGCAGCTCTGCCTGCATTCTGGCTTCCAGGATGAGCAAGTTCACGTGAACCTAAGGGAGAAGCAAGAGAGGTTCAGGCAGCCGCAGTGCACTGCAGGCAGCGGTGCAAGCAAGTGCCCAACCGAGCTAGGGAGTCTTTTGGCACGAGACAAAATGCCGCCAATTTTTCCAGCTGCCCCTTCCCGCTCCTCCCAGTCCTGTGGGCTGTGGCTGCCTCCCAGAGCCACGTGTTAGGGCATCCTCAGCACACGTGGCACCAGCCCGGTCCCTGCAGCCCGGAGCAGCCGTTCCGCTGAGTCACAGCTGGACCAAGGGCTCAGCTGGAGGCACTCGTGGCGTGGGTAATGGCCTTGGAGGTCCCCATGCTGCCAGTGGCCCCTGTGCTCCTTCTGGGCATCCCCGTGCCACCCTAAGCCCAACTCCTTACAAACAGCCAGCTTCCATTTCCCCCCGGACCTGTCTTGGTCTGGTTTGGTGCCTCGGAAGTTTCCCACACGCCCCCTGAAGCACCCCAGCCCGCAGCCCCTGCCTGCTCCCAGCCCCACCGCAGCTGGTCAGAACCAGGGGCCAGCTGTCCCACCTTCTCACTGTGCTTGAACTGCTTCCAGAACCTATCAAACATCTCTGGGTTTGTCTTCTCTGGGTAGCAGGTTACAGTTTTAATGTAAACTTTGAGCATTCGCTCCAGGAGCTGATTCACTTCGGCGTAGTCGTAGTCATCGTACCTGTGGGGAGCACAGGGGAGGCACCATGTGCGTGCCGAGCACCTCACCCGTGGTCTGCCTGGGACACAGTGCAGCCCTGGGGCACGGCAGCACCCACCAGGCACTGAAGCCCCATCCCTGAAGCACCCTGCCCTGGTCAGAGAAGCTCAGTAACTCTTCCCTGCCTGGCCCAGCACCCAGGCAGGTGATTCACCTCCGTCTCTCTTCCAAGGCCATCTGCTAGACGGCAGTACCCTCCTCCCACCTGGGTCAGCTCGGTTTTCTCCCCTGGACTGCAAGGTTGGGTTCCCTACCTAATGCCAAACATGCAGTGGATGTAGTTCCAGATGCCTCGCTTGAAGACAGAGGGTTCACAGCCCTGCCGCTTGGCCATGGCACTGCTTTGTAGACCATCCACCATCCGAAACTTCTCATCCAGGAGATGCCCGATGTCAGAGTAGAGCCGGTTGACGAGCGAGAAGCCATGGTCTTCCCATGAATAATCCTGTTGAACACAGCAAGGGGCTTTCACAACTGCAAAAAGAAGCCCAGGGCACGTTCCCAGGAAGAAGGGCTGGTGACCTCAGGACACAGCAGAATTCAATAGCTTTGCTCTGGGCTTGGCTCTGCCACAAACCACAACATCCGTCATCAGGCAGCTTTTGAATGATTTTGACCCCTGCCTCCATGGAGGCAATGTGAAAACAAAAAATCGGCAGCCCTTAAGAACCGAAGTCCCTGGTCACCTCCCTCTCCCCAACCCTAGTGGGGCAGGTCCCTTCTCAGACCTGAGCTGCCCAGCTCAGGCATTTTGCAAAAGCAGCTGTGCCAGATCCGGACTGCGCGGGCACCCCCACAACCATCCGCCCCCCAGCAGGAGCGGCGAGGAGAGGAGAGGCGGCAGACCAGGCTGCTGCCTGCCAAGAGAGCAGGAACCTCACCTGGACTCTGAATACCTGCGTCTGATCCTCTTCACGCCGGGCAAAGTCCTGGTATCCAAAGTCAGGGTCTTGCATGTAGCACGCAAGGTTGGTGGCACCGGTGACTTCCCCATCGGTATCTGCAAGAGGGGAGAGCCCCGCAGATGGGTCAGTGCGATGCTCAGCTGCCACGGCCCCAGCCTCAGCAGGCGTCGAAAGCCGGGCCATGCTGCACCTCTTTGGGCCTTCTTCACCCACTGCTAGCATCTCTTAACCGCCCATCATGGAAAATGTCAGTAGAGAGATGGGAGAGCAACACCCTGGTATGCCGTACGAACTCCCATCCTGCACACCCACCTCTGCTCCCTGCCCCTCACCTTCCTCTTGGTCCTGCTGCAGCAGCCTCGTCGCCTCCGTGCCCTCGGTCTCCACGTGGATCTGCTGCACGCGTTCACGGAGGGAATCCAGCTCCATGCAGGAGTCCAGGGACTGCACAGACACAGGCTCGGGGGTGAGGGCAGCGGTCCTGGCCGTGCCCCCCCGCCCCACCGTGAACCCACCCCTCCGGGGCTCACCCGCTTGCGGTTGATGCGCAGCAGCTCCTGGCTGCAGCCGTTGCCAGCAGGGGCTTCGCAGAAGCACTGGTTCCCAGGCGACAAGGGCTTCAGCGAGCCCCGGCCCGCCAGCCCCTCGTCCTGTTCGCAGCCGCAGCCAAAGACAAAGCTGGCGAGCGCATGGCAGTGTGCCAGGAGGACGACAGCGTGCACCAGCTCCGCCAGTGACCAGCTCCACTCGTTGATTTTCAGCAGCTTCTGAAGGACACGGACAGACCGGCGATGTGATGTGGGCGGGGTGCTGGCACCCTCTGGGGGTGCCGCTGTCCTCGTCCCTGGCTGAGAGTCTCCCCTCCCCCCCCCCAATACCTCAATGTGCTCCTTGGTGATGAGCCATGGCCGGTGTGCCAGGATCTTGTTGATCTCATTGAGGTTGCGGAGTTTGGGGGGGATGAAGTCGAGGCCGCGCAGCCACTGGGGATCTCCCCCTGCCCGCAGGAACTGCAGCACGTGCAGGTTCACCAGGTACTGGCACTGGTGCCGAGCGGCTGCCTGCAAGAGCAGCAGGTCAGCATCCCCGTGCTGCGCCAGCCCGGGGACCCCGCACCCACCCCTCGCCCAACCTCCAGCACACCATGATTTTGGCCTCGGCAGAGAAGCCCACGGCACAGACTGATGGAGGGAAGACAGGGAGCTGAGCAGAGCAGCCCCCGGCCCCTCCGGCAGCTCCTGGCAGGGCTCACCATGATGGCTATGTAGTGCCGGCAGTCAAAGGGCAGCGGGCCGTCCATGTGCATCAGGTAATGCTGCATCTTGAGGAAGCTGTCGAGGTACTGCGGGTGGTAGCCCATCTGCTGGGTCACCGCCTCCAGCCGCCCCCGGCTCGCCAGCACTTTCACGAAGAGCAACTGGGGCCGCTCGGGCTCGCTGCCGGACATCTTCACGACCTGTGGGGAAGGCGCTCTGCTCAGCTCTCCCCGGAGCAGCCCCTGCCGCAGCAGCCTGCGCCGGCCGAGCCTGGGCTCTGGGAGGGGGGTGGGATCTCCTCTCCCGGCTCGGGTGCTCCCCGACAGACACCGTCAGGTCAGAAGGCACCGCAGAGGGCTGGGGAGCTGGGCAGAGCACTGCTCCGCGGGGTCACCGCTAGCAGGGCAGGCTGCATGGAACACAGGTTGGTCTCTGCCTGGGAGAGGGCATTGCCTGGCGAGCAGAAGCAAAGGGCGAACTAGGAGTGAGGTTTCCTTGCAGCCTGAGGCAAATGCGAGGCCAGAGCAGAAGAAACCTGACACATGAAATACCTCCCTGAACTGAGCAGCCCATCAGCCTTACTGCCAGGCCCCTGTGCCACCAGCACTGGGACAGGGAGAGAGCTGTGGAGCCAGCCAAGCTGCTCCCAGGCTCCTGCCCCGCCGCGTCCTGGCAGCTGCCGTGCAGTCAGGAGCACACAGAGGAACTCGGAGGTCTCTCCCCACATGCCGCCCAAGGACACAGCGTGGGAGCAGGACCTGCGGCCCGCGGGTGTGCGGCACGGCTGGCACCAGCTACGCCCACCAGCGAAAACACAACTCGGTGAGCAGGGCCCGTACAGCCCCAGCAGTGCCCGGCCCAGCCCTGCACCAGCGCCCCAGCCGAGCACAACCCCGAGCCACGCTGTCCCAGTTCCTCCCGAGAGAGCAGTGGGAGCAGAGAGTGGGGATGTGCAAAACATGCCTGGGCAGCTGCTGCACCCCAGCAACAGCCCTGCTGCCGCGCCCCCCACCCAACAGTGGGGTCTGTGCTCGTGCGTGGGAGCCTAGGCAGCACCCTCCGATGCAGTGGGTGTGCCTCCCCTCCCGGGCTGCAACCAAAATGTCCCCTGGGAGCAAATGGCCCCGCTGACACTGTCATCATCTTCCTCCCGTCCGTCTCTTCACGCAGTCACCCGAAGGCTGGCGACTGGGGCACAGCAACCACAGTGGCACGGCAGAAAACCAGCCTCTGGGTTGTCACTGCTGGTCAGGACACACACAGAGCTCTCCGAGCCCCAACCGGGAACCCGCATGCCTCGCCAGCAGCTCTCTTGCCTATCAGTGACCTACATCAGGCGTTAATTTCTGCAGTGGCTCGGCGTGCCGCCATGAGGCGACCCAGAAGGTTGGGGCATTTGCACCCGCAGAGGCAGCGCAGGAAGCTGCTCTGGCTATTTTCTAGCATCCTGCACTTCTGATGGACACACTATCACTCAGGTGTCAAGAGATTTACTTGATGATGCCATTGGGAGCTTCCTCTTCACTTTTGGACAAAGAGGTCCAAAAAAAACAACCCAAACCCCAAATTAAAATGGGGAGGGATGAAGAGCACTGGCTTCTCTGTCCCACAGGAGATGGTGTAAACCAGAAGTGACCTGCAGAAATCCCCCGCAGAGCCTCTCTGCTCGGGGAGATGAGCTGCCCTGAGGACACCCGTGGGGCTGTATCTGCTGGTCTCCTCCATTTGGTGGGCAGAAGTGGAGGAGCTGGGGGCCCTGCGGCTCCCTCCCGGGTGAAGGCTGTCCCCAGCAAGGAGCCGTGCGACCAGCCCAGGGCTCAGCCTCCGGGGCCGCCAGCTCTCCCGGCTCTGCAAGTTCAGGCGACGATGGACCGGGGCACCAGGCAGCCACGGCCTGGAAGGAGAGGCCGAAGGCAGGTTGCAGGGCAGCCTCCCAGCTCAGCCCTCACCCCCTGGCAGGCTCCTGCCAGCTCCCCACGGCGTCGGCTCAGCCCACGGTCTCTCCTGCCGGCACCACTAGCCACATCCCCCCAGCCTCTCACATTACCCCCCAGTGCCATCTTCCTCACCTGCCCCGGGCATAACCCTCCTCCTCCTCCCCTATACCCACTCGCAGCCCTGGCCAGTGGGAGCATCACCCCCCTCCCCCGGGGTCTTTCACGTGTCCAAACTCCCCGAATCCCAAAAGGCAGCCCGACTCCATACACACTTCCAATCTCGCCCTCTCCCTGCCCGGGCAAGTGCTAGCCAGAGAAACGATGTCCCGGCGCCGCCCAGCCAGCCAATCCCCGGGCAGCACTTTGCATGTAAAGCAGGCAGGAGGATGGAGGAGCCCAGCCGGTCCTGCGCCCTGCAACCGGGAGCCCGGGCAGCACCGGGAGCCGCGGGAGAGGGGGCCGGGGGATCCCGCCTCGCCGCCGCCGCCCCGGGGAACACTCCGTGGTGTGAACCCCCCCCCCCACGCCCCCCCGGGGCTCCATCCCTCCTCCAGGAGAGACCGCGGCTCCGCCGGTACCGGTGGCTCCGCCTGTGATGCTCCCCCGACCCGCCCCCCCCCCCCCCCCCCCCCCGGTACTCGAGAGGACAGGGGAAGTGCTAGTGTCCGCGGGAGGGGTCCCCCCGGCGGTGCCGGTGGCCGGTAACGTGGGCCCCGCCGTGCGGGCGGCGGCAGCGCCCCCGGTGCGCGGCTCGGGCAGTGCAGGCGGAGAGAGAAAAACAAGTTTGATTGGCAGGGATGGAGGCACGGCGCCTCCTGCATCCCGCACAAAGGCGACGGGGACCGCACCGGCACCGGGCCACCGGCCGCCGCAGCGGGGCAGCGCCGCCGGCAAGGCGACGAGGATGCCCCCGGCTTGCGGGTGCGGCAGCCGGGCCGAGCCCGGGGCTCCGGGACGGGCTCCGGTGGCGGCGGGGCGGCGGGTCCTACCTGCCCCGGCAGCCGCTGGCACCGGCTTCCTCGGGGGTGCTCCACGCTTTGGGGACACACGATCATGGTGAGCCCGTGCGGTGCGCAGTCCCGGGGCCACCGGCACCAGTCCCGGTGACCGGCACCAGTCCCGGGGCCACCGGCTGCGCTGAGCCGGGCACCGCGGGGGGCGGGGCTGCCGCTCCGCCCCCGCCAATCACCGCCGCGAGGGGGCGGGGCCTCCCGCGTCGCGCCCGCCAATCGGCCGCGAGAGGGAGGAAGCCCGGCGCACCACGTGGGCCGGGGTGGAAAGTTACCTGTCCATCAAGTGCGAAGGCTCCGCCCACCGCGGGCCGGGGGCGGGGCCGAATCTGCCCGCCGCTGGGGGGCGCTGCGGGGCCGGGGGGTGGCCTGTCCCCATGTCCCCCCCGTCCCTATGTCCCCGTGTTCCTGTCCCCATGTCCCTGTGTCCCCTTGTCATCATGTCCCCATCCCCATGTCCCCCTGTCTCCATATCCATGTGTCCATGTCCCCCCGTTCCCCTGTCCATGTCCCCCTGTCCCCATGTGTCCATGTCCCCTGTCCCCATGTGTCCATGTCCCTGTGTCCCCCTGTCCATGTCCCTGTGTCCCCCTGTCCATGTCCCCCCGGCCCCCTGTCCATGTCCCTGTGTCCCCCTGTCCATGTCCCCCTGTCCCTATGTCCATGTCCCCGTCCTCTCCCCCTCTCCATGTCCTGTCCCCCTGTCCCCCTGTCCCCCCATCCCTGTCCCCGTCCTCTCCCGCAGCTGCCGCCCGCCAGCCCCAGTGACGCTCACAGCCCCGGGCAGGGTGTGGTGGGGATGCCCCCACACTTTATTGGGCCTCATCACTGCGGGTCCCGCTGGCCCGGCCCCGGCCCCGCTCGGGAGGGTGAAGTCGCCTTGCGCCGGGTCCCCTTGGTGCGCTCTGTGCCGGTGCCTTGCCCCAGCGCCTTGCCCTGCACAGAGAGGGGTGGTGCCGGGGAGGGTTACGGGGACACGGGGGGCTGAGGATGTGGTCGCAGTGACAGCAGGACAGGGGGATGGAGCGCGGGAGCTGGGGTGGAGAGGGCGGCAGGGTGGCAGGGTGTGGAGACAGCGGGTACAGGGATGGGGCGGTGGAGCACAAGCGTGACAGCATGGAGACGGCAGCCGTGGGGACAGGACAGCAGGGCACGGGGAGGGGACAAAGGTGTGGGGGCAGTGGGGGTGGGAATGGGGCGAGCCAGGTGCCCACGAGGTGCTGGGGGCCACAGAGGGGGGCAGGTCCCTGCAGAGGTTCCCCCCCCACACCCGGGGGCAGGGCTGGCCTGTGGCTGACAATGTGTCCTGTGTCCCCCCCCCCCCCCCCCGCCTCGGTGCAGCTGGGCAAGGCCACACCGGCCGCCCCGGGGGTGCCACCACCTGCCCTTTACCTCTCCTTGGCCCTGTGCCGCCGAGAGCAGCGTCTCCATGCCAGGCGTCCTACTCGCCTCTGGCATCTTCAGGGCGCCCGCCTGCCTCCGGCGCGGGTGCTTGTCCTGCAGCTGCAGGGCACCTGCCGCCAGAGGTGGGGCTGGGGGGTTCGCAGCAGCCCCCCGTTTGCCTGCGCCCACCTGCCCAGCCGCTCCCCCCCAACCCCTCGCCCACCTGTCAGCGCCGCGCTGGGGTGCTCCAGGAGGGGGGTGAAGGACCAGCGCTCGTGCTCCTCCTCGGTCCCTCTGGTCACTCCTGCTCGCTGCCCCCCACCACCACCACCCCCCCACACGCTGCTGGGACTCCCGAGGGGGCTACCGGGTGCTCCCAGCTCCACCCTGCACACGTAGTGGGTGCCGCGTTCCTGCAGGAACTCGCTGACCATCTTGCTCGGGCTGGTCACTTGGAAGAGCAGCTTGGGGGTGCCCAGCTCGTCGCACAGGTCAACAACATCTGGAAAAACCGCGGGGTGCTGGTGCCGCGAGCTAGGGGGACCTCCCCCCCCCGCCTCTCCCAAACTCACGCCCACCCCACGGAGAGCCCCTGCAGCGTCCCACTGGAGATGGGGTGAAGCAGGGAGCTGCAGCCCCGCAGCCGGGGCTCACCGTCTTCAGGGACCCCCACCATCCTCCTCACGTAGGAGAGCAGCGGCAGGACGGCGCAGCTGGTGTTCGCCAGGAAGCTCTGCCCATCTGCAGGGAGAGCGGAGGGGTCTGAGGGCTGAGCCTGCCGTGCCCGTGGAGCGGACACCCGTGGGGTGGCGGGGAGGGGGGCCTCACCCCCGTGTTTGATGTAGATGAACATGCCAGCGCCGCAGGCCCGCGACCGTTATTGCCACGGGTGACGGGGGGGGGGGGGGACAGGCGGGCTCGCGGGGGGCACAGCAGCCCCAGGGGCCGGAGGTGGCACAACGGCTTGGTGCATGAGCCGGGCGTGAGCAGGAGGTGGGAACAACCACAAAACCACGGGTGGGATGCAGAGGGGAAATTTATTTTCGTTCCCCGAAGCAGCACCGGAGCAAAGGCACGCAAGCGGGGATGCAGGCACCACAGAGCTTGGCCCGTGATAGAGCTTGGCCGACCCTGCTGGTTTTGTCCGTTGGTCAGGGAGTTGTGCAGGTGTAGTTTAACACTGCGCTTCGGTCTTCCCCACAGCAGGGCAGGAATCTCAAGCACCTTCAATAGGTGCCTCTCAGCCTATCACGGGCCTGTTATCTGAACACAGGTGTTCTACATGTCAAACACACCAGGCTAAACAACAGTTAGTATCATATATCTGTTTTTCTACATCCTAGCTGCAAGTCACTTGAGCATATTTACAGTCCTCCTCGTGAATCTTCCTTCATTTTCTCACATTTGGCCTCCTTGGCCCTTGGTGGTCCTCAGCCCCCATGTCCCCGTCGGTTGGCTGGTGGCTCCTGCCTGCTTGGCTGCATCTGTCCCCTCGCCAGGACACGTCCCCGGGTGTGCTCGCGGGCACCTCGGCGCGAGGAGTGGGGCTCAGCGAGCCCCCGGCGTCCCCAGTGCACCCGGTGTGGCAGCCCACGGGGGAGCGGTGTGGGGAGCCCATCAGCTCTGCCGTGCCGCAGCAACCCCACAAGGGATCCTGTGCGCAGCGGGGCTCGTGGTGGGATGAACGTCACCCTGCCCGCCCTGCTGGATGCCTCCAGGACAGGTAAGGTGCTGGCACACCGTGCACTGTGCTCAGCGGGCTGCCATGCACCCAGAGCAGCACCCAGTGCACCCAGTGCAGCACACGCATGCGACAAACGGTGCGCCCAGGCTGCTGCGCGCTGCACCCCACGCACTGCCCGGCGCACCCAGCACACCACGCTCACCTAGCGCCCTGCAGTGCAGCACAGTCACCATATCGCGAGGAGCTCCATGTGGCCATGGCAGGGAGCAGGGCTGGGGGTCCTGGGCATTTGGGAGAGAGTGGGAGTGGGGAGTGAGGACTGCAGGGCGGGGAGGTTTCAGGCAGCGGGGTTGCGGAGCATGCGGGGCGCGGGGGTGCAGGACTGCGTCACACTCCCACATAGCTGTTCTTGTAGGGGCTGTGCTCACAAGGGGCAGCCGGGGCCCCGGGCATCGCAGACGGTGGGTGGTCGTTGCTCTCCCAGAGGGGCTCATAGCTGTCCTTGGGGGGCAGCTCGCTCACGTAGCAGATATTCTCGCTATAGTTTGGCCTGAAGCTCTCCACGACGTCTTTGGGGACTCCAGCCCATTCCTCCGAGGAGCAGAGCAGGGTAAGAGGAGCCACCAACCAGCCCAGCCCCAACCCTGTGGGGCAGGGGGTGAGTCTGGGGCAGGGCTGCCCACAGCAGCCTTACCTGGAAGTTGCCGTTGTGGGTGATGAAGAGCTCATCAAAGTTCTTGCTGGGGTTGGGGATTCGGGGCATGAGGATGACCCACACCCTGCGTGGGAGAGATGTGTTGGAAGGGAAGACCCCCCCCTACGCTGCTGTCCCCCACTAGCCTCTCATGATCACCTTTCCATGCGCACCAGCAGGACAACAAGGACCAGCAGGAGCAGGCAGGCGGCAATGGGGATCAAGACTCTGTGGATCCAGAACCAGTGCGGCTGTTCTTCCGCTGCGCCTGCAAAGAGTTGGGGTGACATCGACCCCTGGCCGGTGCACTGCCACAGCAGTGGGGTGGGCACGTCTGGGACCCTTCGTGGGTGGCCATGGGAGCTCAGCATCGTTTGGGGCAAGCCTCAGTTGGGAGCAGAGGATGGAGAAGGGACCCATCTTCAAGCCCTACTGCACCGTCACCACAACCTGTCCTGGACTGGCTATGCCAGAGCAGCCCTCCAGGGTTAAGAAACCCCTGGCAGAAGTCAGCAGGTCCCACTGGTGGTGGATATTTGCCTTTCAGAAGTGCAAAGGACGCAGGGGCTGATGCTACTGCCTGTGCCCCAGGTGCCTGGACAGGTCTCGCCCCTATAGTTGCTGCCTTGGGCCAGTTTTCCACTTGCTTGGCCATTCCTCCTCTGCTGAGCCCCACCATGCCCCAGCCCGTCCCGTCCCACCGCAGCCCCCAGGACCTACCTTTGCTGGTGGAGTTGCTGCCCCAGACCACAGGGACGCTCCACTCACTCCAGAGCTGCGTGCTGCCGCAGTAGCTGTTGATCTTGCTGCGCACATAGAAGGTGTAGTACTTCTCGTAGTCCACGCTGGGGAAGGAGAAGACATCTCCTTTCACCCGCTGCTCCTACGGAGAGACACGGGCCACGCAGTGAGGGCCGGCACTGCCACGGAGGCTGGTGCACAGCCTATCCCTGGGCATGATGGCTGGGGTGCCACATCCAGGGGACTCGCACCGTCCAGCTGGTGTCCTTGTTGCTCTTGTACTTGACAGCGTGCTCCAGGCACTGGGCTTTGGGGTACGGGGACCTCCAGGTCAGCTGCAGCTGGTTGCTGCTCATGTTGCGGATGGTCAGGTTGACGGGCGCTTCTGGTTTCACTGCGAAGCACGGGTGATGCCTGGTGAGTGCTGTCCCCACGCCCCAGTGGCCCTGCCGCCAGCCAGGGTGTGATGGGGCAGCCCTGGGGACCCACAGCCCCGCTCCTGCCCCACAGCAGCCCCGCAGAGGAGACTGGATGCCCCCCACCGCTCTGTACCCAGGTCCTGCAGCTCCATGCGCTCGCTGAGGATCTCCAGGGTCCTGCCGCCGAGGCTGGCATTGATGAGGACGTGGAAAGGCTGGAACTGGATGATCTCGCTCTGGTTGAAGTGGCAGCCGATGCTGACGCCCCGGTCCCACAGGTAGTGCTTGCACTCCACCACAGGGGACCTGTTCTCGTACCTGTGCTGCAGCAGGTTACCAGGGCTCCCCAAGACCCTGCATGCCCCAACCCACCCCAGGGACCCTCCTCCCCAGCATATCCCATCCCTCTTGCCCTGGAGACAGAGCCTCCCCCACCCTGGGCTCAGGGAAGAGGAGCTGGGACCAGCAATGCTGGCAGGAGCCTCCTGTGTGTGGACCCACCACCGGACACCCTGCTGCGAGGCTGGCTGCGGGGCAGGGGAACCTACCAGTAGTAGAGGGAGTAGTTGGCCGTGAGCGTCTCTCTGCTTCCCCATGTGCAGGTCATGTACTCCTCATTGAAGAGGACACACTCTACCCCTGCAAGGGATAGACACCACTGGGCACCGTGGTGGTGGGCGGCTGTGCCGGGGCCATGGAGTGCACCGGACAGACACGGCACACGCCAGGGATCCCTGCAGATCTCCGTCAGCCTTCCTCCACGTGCGCCAAACCAACCCAGTTCTTCCCAGCAGAGCTGTGGTGCAGCCTGCCTGCGACGCTGGGGCCCCCCCACCCCATTCACACACGCTGTGCCAGTGATGCCCAGGCTGCTGGCAGCACCGCATCTCCCTCCCAAGGACTGCCAGCCAAGCAGCTGCCCCTCCCACATCCGTGCTGGTGGCTCCTCATGCTGTGGATGTGGTGTTTCGCCTTGATTCCTCCATCCGCTCCCCTTAGTCACCCTGCGGACACTGCTTGCAGCCCCTTGCACTGTGGGATAAGATGGAAACCCCTCCCTGCCAACCCATTTTTCTTGTCCCACGAGAAAATTAGGAGTTTTCCAGGATTTGTGCCTGGTGTCTCCACCCTGGCTAAATTCATGTTGCTTTTGGGTGCTTGCAGGTGCCCGTGTGTACCTGTGTCTGGGTGATGGGGGCTCTGCTGGGCCACCCTTCCCACCACAACCTATCTGCCATGGGGCCAGGGACTTGAGCCCCGGTAGTTTGATCTTTGTCGCAAACACTGCTGAGCCCTGGGAGGCCAAGCTGCTGCTCCAGGCACCCACGCCGGCTCCTCTGCCCCCTCCTTCCGCAGCACCGTGCCAGCCCCGCTCCTGCCCACGCAGCCGGAGGCCACATCCCGGGCTGGCGGGGGGCTGCAGGGCCACCGGGGCCGCGCTGGTCCCTGCGCCAGGTATCGTGTCACAGTCTGCTCTGGTGGCTGCCGGCACGGCTCGCTGCGGGGCGAGCTCCTCTGGTGGACCGAGGTGCCTCGCAGAGGCCTTGCAAGTGCCAAACCAGCTGCTGACGGCCAAGAGCTGTCCTCGAGGCTCATAGAAAATAGGATTTTTTTCCCCTAAAAACCAGGCAATGAGACACCTGGCCCCTTCCAAGGTCCAAACCCATCAGTTAGCCAGCGCCGGGCTCTCCTGGGTTGTAATGTCACACAATGGAGCAAATGAGACACCTTTCTGGCAGCCCGGGAAGTCCAGGGGTGCAGAGAGGCTCCATTTCCTTGGAAAGCTGGTGTTTTACCGACAGCCAGCCAAGAAGTGGATTTTTTTCTCCGAAAACGATGGCTGGGGTGAGGGTGCCAGGTAGAAAGAGGAGCTGCTGCCGCCCTGCCCGGCTGATACACGGGGCCTTTAGGATCTGCGTGTCGCATCCTGCTGCTGCCCCCCACCCCAGCCTGCCACCCGTGGCCAGGGTCCCTCCTGGCAAGTGCTGCCTGCTGGGCTGGTAGCCACGGGGCTGGTGATGCCAGCGGTGCTCCAGCTCCCCGGCACAGCCTGGCTCTCCCAGCAGCCCCACTGCAAGGGGACACAGAGGTGCTGGGTGTCTCTGGCGCATCGGTGGGGGGGTTGTGGGATCTCTGGCGCATACCCCAAGGGCTGGCCAGCCCACGCAGCCCCACGTCCTGCCCTTCTTGCCCGCCATCACTGGTGAGCGACGTCCCCCCAAGCCCACCACCCACGGGGCATCGCAGCCTCCCGTCCCCCCCACAGGGCCCATGTGCCCCCCTACCTGGAGGGCTGTGGGCAGCAGCAAGGCAGGGGCTGAGCCCACAGAGGAGGAGGAGGAGGACGGGCGCAAGGAAGGCACCAGGCACCATCATGGCAGGGCAAGCTGTGGGGCGCATGCGAACAGCCTCTGCGCGCAAACCACTGCGCAGGACCGCCGGCTTCCGCACCCACACCGCTTCCTGCCCCCCGGCACCGCCTGCTGCTGAGGGGCCCACCCCACGCGGCACCCCACGGGTCACCCCGATAGGGGAACCATGGCTCACCATGCCAGGACCCCACAGCTTGGGGCCTCGCCACCCTTCCTGCCCAGGCCCCCCCATACCCAACCCTCGGGGCCCCACCGGGACCCCCCCCGGTTCGATGTGCTGCGTGCCCACGCATCACCCTGCCCCACACCACGGGGCTCACCCCCACGGGGCTGCCCCCGAGGAGCAGGGCCAGTGTGGGGATCTTGACCTGCGGCCCAACTGCGGGTGTCCTGTGCTGGGTCACTCAGAACTGGGAGTCACTGGGGCAGTCCCGGGGGGGCAGCTGTGGGGAGACGGTCCCAAAGGGGCCCACGGAGGGGGCCGTCGTAAGGAGTCGGGGGGCAGTGACAGGGGGTGGTCGCAAAGGCTCGCGTTGGGGGGGATGCTCATGGGCGCAGCGGGGAGGGTGTGGCCGGTGGGGCGGTTGCCGGGGGGGCGGCCGTAGGCGGCCGTGTCCCGGGCGACGCGGTGGGCTGCGGGGCGGCGGCGGGATCAGCACGGCGGCAACCGGCAACCCCCCCCCCCCGCCCCGCACCGCTCCGCAGCCGGCGGCCCCGCGCCCCTCGGTATATTCCCCCCCGCCGGCGTCCATCTTCGGCACTTTCCGCCTCCGCTCGGCGCAGGCTCGGGCCCGCCCCGGCGGCGCTCGGCACTCTTCGCTCTTCCTCGGCCCGGCTTCGGGACGCTCCGCCGCTCCTCGGCGACGTCCGCCGTAGCGTCGCGGCGCTCGGGCCTCTCCGCCGGCGCTCGGGTGGCCCCGGCGCAGGGCGCAGGCGCGGGCGGCCCCGGCGGAGCTTGTTGTGGCCCGGCCGCCGCTGCCCGCCGGCCCGGCATGGCGGCCTTCGGCGTCCTCAGCTACGAGCACCGCCCGCTCAAGCGCCCGCGCCTCGGCCCGCCTGACGTCTACCCGCAAGACCCCAAGCAGAAGGAGGTGCGGGGGGCGGGGGGGGCCGTGAGGAGGCCGCGGGGGTGCGCCGGGAGCCCCCGGGCCGGCGGTGGGCGGCTGGGCGGGAGCGGTTCCAGAGCCGCCGTTCCTGGGTCCCGGGGCTCGCCTGGCGGCTCGGGCCCGGGGGAGGCCGGCGGGGACCCGCCGGGCCCTCGGCTCGCCCTGTCCGCGGGCCGGCCGGGCCGTCGTGGCGGGGACGGGCTGCGGGCGCTGGGTGTGGAGGCGCCTTGCCGGGCCCTGCTGATCGCTCTTCCCTCCCCCCCGCAGGATGAGCTGACTGCGCTGAACGTCAAGCAAGGCTTCAATAACCAGCCGGCAGTCTCTGGGGACGAGCACGGCAGCGCCAAAAATGTCAACTTCAACCCAGCGAAGGTGAGAGCTGTTGGGACAGGGTGTGGGGTTGGCGGGGCCTTGTGGCTGCGCGGGCAGGCTGCTGGGTGCTGGACAGTCCTGGGTCTCATTCTTTCCTTGTGTCCAGAACCAGGAGACTCCTCCCTTTAGCATGGGTGATTCAAGACCTAACCCTCTGTGCCCGTAGAATCAAAGTTTTGCATTCTTTTAGACCTGTGCCCCACCTCTGAGAGAGCAGATTCTTGTCTTGCTCCGTGCGTCTTAGGGACATGTCAGTGTCTGCAGTCTTTAGTAAAGCAGCATCTAGAATTCCGTATATTTTGCAATTAAAGCAGTAGACTAGGATACCAGAAATAGAAAATTTCTTACTGGCTTGGTTACATTATGGTCACAGTAGAAAAGAAATAAGATTTCTTGAAGCATCTGGCGATTTAAACATAGGAGTTATATAGCAGGCTTTGGCTCCGTTTTTCCAATTGCTAAAATCAGGATGTTAACTTCCTGGTCTCCCTGACAAGAGGACTAATAATGACCTGGGATGGAAGGCAATCAGTAAGCACAATATATTTGTTTTCCTTGGCTGATGTCTGTCTGAGAAGCCTTCTGTCTGGTTTGACAGGTGTTTATAGAGTTGTGTTTGTTGCAGCTTGAATCCCAGCTTGGTTATTGTATGCATTGTCTAGAAGCATTCCTCTTTGCAAGTGTAACAGAGGAAGTTATTGGCAGGTTTTCTTTGTTTCATACTGGTGAGACTTATGGTAAGAGTGATAAATAAAATTTTAAGCATATAGAATGGATCATTGGCCTCTGAAATGTAATTCATCCTTTTTTTTCTTTCCAGATCAGTTCAAATTTCAGCAGTATTATCGCAGAAAAGCTGCGGTGCAATACACTGCCCGACACAGGAAGACGGAAACCCCAGGTGAATCAGAAGGATAACTTCTGGCTGGTGACAGCACGTTCTCAGAGTGCCATAAACAACTGGTTCACAGATCTGGCTGGAACTAAGCCCCTCACTCATCTCGCTAAGAAGGTATTTTACAGGAGAGACTGCCTGACAGGGTAGAGCATTTAATCTGCGCTTGTTTCTGAAGTGCTTTTACTATTTGGAGAAATTTCTTCTTTCTACATGTCTTGAAACTTTCAGCTTGAAGAACGCCTCCAGGATTTGTAGTGCACTGGCTGTAGTCATCCCCACTCAGAGAACAGGTCCCTCGTCTGTTGTTTGGAGGTTGTGTTCAACTTTGCCTTTTGGCTCGTATGATACAACTGATTTGAGGTTTGGATGTTTTTCAGAAGAGCTGCCACTGTTGCCTTTGATCTGTTTAGATTAGGACCGTTCCTGTTGTGGATGGCTTTTCAAGTTCTCAAAAGTCATAGTGAGAGTTACTGGAGGTGACAAGCTGAGTGACTTCCCAGACTTCTGTTGCAGGGACGCGTATTTCTGGTTTTAAGCCAAGAAGAGTATGTGTACTATAGCTTGGTCTCAGCCAGGCTAGAGCACCTCTGTGCCTTGGGGTCTAGGGCTAGGTATTTCCCTGGGAGCATTGGATTCTGTGAAGTATGAAAGAAAGGTCTTACTCTACTGTTTTATCAGGCCCGTAGCAAGGGGAACTAACTCTCTATCAGAGTGAGCCTATAAGCAAGGCACTCGGGAATCTACTTACCTTGTGGAAAAACATAACTCCTAGTTGCAAAATGGTAGCAGAGCACAGAGTTTAGAAGCTGGAGTTTGTCTGGTCCTTGGTGTTCTTTTCCACTCTTGGGGGAAAATTAAAGTAATCAGATCTTCCCAGAATCTGTCTCCCTATAAACCTAGTCCCTGTATCCTTCTCTGCATGTTGACAGTCGGTTTCCCGAGGTCACTGTGAAAGCTGGAACCTTTCAAGGCCTTCTCCAGTTTCCTGCAGTGGACTCCATCAGTTTTCACGGACTTAGACATGAAAGCGGTGACTGTCAGTAGCCAAGTAGTCTGTGTCTTTGAGACATCAGAGGATAGTTGGGAAAAATGTAAGAAACATAGCAAGTAAGCGGTGGAACTGTCAGTAGTTCAGGGTCTTTGAGGCATCTACCAAATGGGCCTGTTCTCTGTGAGTTTGTCTCATTCCTCCGTGAACACGTGCATACTTGTGCTCTCTGTAGTATCCTGTGTAAATGAGCCCCACAGCTGTACTTTTTCCAGTGATACGTTATTGCTTCCTGGTTTATTCATCTGCAGTCTGATCATTTCACTGGGAACATCCTATGTTGTATCTTGAGTTTTGAATCTTGAATTAATTGATTCTGTACTACTATGGTGCTCAGTTCCCTGTTTCTCACAGTCTTCCGTTGGCTACTCATGATATTACAAGACTTTTGTAACTACTTGTTTTGTTTACAGAATGAAGAGTCCTATCTTCAGTCTGTATAGTAGATATTTAGTGTTTCTAACTCAGTCCTTAGTCCCTACTTTTTGTAGTTGTTTATATCCTCTCTGGAGCTTATCCTTGAATCTGTTTGCAGGATTCAGGGCCTGGATTTACAATGGTGTAATTATGTTTTCTGTCTTCTTTCAATTTGTTTTGTTTCTGTTTATGCTGAAATGTAGCTCTGGTACTGTTGCTCTCTGACCAGAAGCGAATTCTTGCAGTAGGTTTTTTTGAGATACAGAGCAACGTGGTTCCTTTTCCCTTTTTACCTTTTTCACAGCTTGCAGTGCCTACAGTGTGTGTAGATGGGAACTATTCCAAAGCAACTAAGCCTTTGGTTGCAATTCTCCCTCTCAATTCTGTTACAGGTGCCCATCTTTAGCAAGAAGGAAGAAGTCTTTGGTTATTTGGCAAAGTACACTGTTCCA